CCAAGTTTGGATCTATAAATAAAACCAGCCTCAAGGAAAATACGTGCCAAGTTTAATGCCAACATCCTTAAATAAGCACGTCAAGGTGGTGACATTGAGCAGTCCTGGATTATTACTCAAACGTGCAGTTTTCCATTTACATACTGATACATGAACACACCAGCATGCACAGCTGGTAGAGCCAATTTCATTCCTATGACTGTTTGGGTTTTTTTTTTCCCCAGTGTTCAACTATTTACCCTCTCACCTTGGTCACCTAGTCGAACTTATTGCTACATTTACCGATTCCTTTGAGCTGTTCTGCAACTTTAACCATCCAACACCAGGCAAACGGAATAAAGGTTGGATGTACCAACTGTGGGTCCCACACTGGTTTGTGAACGCCTGGTATGAATACTTTGTTTTCACATTTTTGCCGACACCAACTTAGAAAATGTCCCTTTGTGACCACAAGGGTTGCCCCCTGGTGGCCATTAAAAAGAAAGCAGCTTTAAAGCACTTTGACTGGTTTCATTTTCTAGGACCGCAGCGCTGTGCCCATCTTTTATACAGTCTATATGACAACAATATTTGTCACCATGGACTGCATCCTACTTGTAGATGAACAGTTGCCACTACTTCCTCGTGAACACAGCATCTTTCTCTCCTGCTGCAGACATGACTCGCTCTTCGTTTGCTCTGTTCAGAGAAGAGTGAGGAGCAGCATCTGACAATGAGCTGCTTGTGCATTGCTGTAATGAGAGTATCTTTGCTGAATGGGGCAAAATTGCACTTATTTTTTGGAAGACATTGCAGGCTCTTAATCAGTTTTATATCCAGGCTATCTATTAAATGTTTTACTCTAAAAGAAGTTTGATCAAATTGGAGGTAATTTTATTGGTTATTATTTGATACACTGAGTGGGCCAGCACACCTAAGAACAAGTTTGTCTCTTCATGGTCCCTCTGCTTATTGCTTTTGTCTAGTTTCAAACAAAAATAACCACAAATATTTTTTTGCATTCTTTTTTTTGCAGTGTTGCAGGTTGCTAGTTTCAAATTTTTTCGACAGTTTACCTAACCAGCTTATGAACCACTCACTGTCATCTATGAGCCCAAACTATTAACACTGCTGAAAGTAATGTGTATGTCTGGAATGTTTAGGGCTGCTCTTACCCATCTCTGCCTTTACTGATGATCTTCACCTCAAAGTAGTAGACCCCGCAGGCAGCTGGGATAGGGTGGGTGGCCCGCACTGATGCAGCATCTTTGGGTGTTTTTCCATGACCTTTAGGTTGCGGTAAAACACAGAAGTGCGCAGTTAGTACAAATGACTATAGTTCATGAGATACATGTGCTGAGTGCCAAGACGCAGAGGCTTCTCTGCAGTTACTCTGGCTAAGGACCAAATACCACTTTAATTTAAAGCCCAGTTTACGATGTATGTAGGGTTTTTTGCCATGAGAAGCTGTGTAAGGGATTAAATCGCAAAGGCTAGCAATCATTAAGTCGGATCAAAACGTTTGAGAAGCACAAAACACACCTCACTAGCAGATTTACCCACCAATGAAAAAAAAAAACAATTAATTATATATATATCTGAGCTCC